CGAGTAGGAGATCCGGATTAATCTACGACGTCGCATCGTTTAGGACAATAAACGAGTGGAACGATTCGCCGCGGTATAGAACTACTGCCATGTTGACTCTGATTGAACTTGGAGTTCTTTCGGTGATGCTTAATTCACCTTAATTGACTGCTCCTGAAGATTAGCCGTGCCTTGGTCATCGGTTTAACTTCCCTTTTTACTTCGCTACTTGTTTTTCTTTGCAAAGGTTTCGAAGGTTTCCTCGTTCGTCTACTACACCTCGTGAAATATGAAAACTTTTCTAAACGAGATTGCGCACTATTTAATTAGTCGATGTAAAGTATTCGGAACATTTCGGCAAATATTTATTATATCCCAAGATGCTCTGATTAATTTATAATTTGTAACACTGTATATCTATAAAACATGTTGAATTTAATTGTAATGTTTTCAACTGTGACGAGGTGTCATTATTACGAAAGTGACTTCTTTCGAATGAAGCACGTGCAAATCTACAATTGATCAAACGCTTCTTCGATACGCGAAGTCTTGAAGCAAAACGGAAAGAAAGAGATGGACGTATAATATACGCGATATAGTTATTGAATGCTTCGAGAATCCTGTAATCTGAAGAACCTTCAGCAAGACCTATTATTAATAGATGCCATATATACGAAAATATAATTTTTATATAATAACGTAATATCAATTTCGATCACGTTTGAAGAGGCCTGGTGTCAGCGGAGAAGGCGAGCGAGGAAGAAAGTAGAATGTGGCAAAGTAGGGAGCCGGCGAGCGATTAAAGAAAGGGAGGGAGAGGGCAGGGCGCGTGCCGTGCTTATTAACTTTTTTCCTTTCTGACGTATATATCGCGACTTTTTGTTCGTTTGTCTCCTTTTATCAACGCTTTCGCAACGCTTTTTCGAAAGGAGAGAAGACAAGTTGGGTAAATTCGTTTTCTTGCCGGCCGACGCATCCCGACCGTTGGAATTCTCGTTACAAGGACACCGTTTAATGAAAATTTATATTATCTTTATAGAACGTATGTGTAGCAGTTGAAGCGATTAAAGTGGTTTTGCCCGCTCGGCCCACGGACGATCAAGGGCCCCGCGTCTTTTGACAAAGTACATTAATAATTCGATTCGTTTACTTTTATCCCGTTTTCTTTTCTCGTGCGAGTTGTACGGCTCGTATTGCCGTACAAGTGTTCTCTTACTCTTACGTAAACTTTCTACCTTGCACTGCTTCGCCAGAGAAATTCACTTCACTATCCGAGGCAAAAATTTCACCTCCATTTCACGGCTATTGCGTTATACATTAAATTTTATGTTTCGCGTCTCACCTTTCGCACGTTCTACATATTGCATTACCCGCTTCGCATCGTATTAAATAATTCGAGAATTATTTCGGCAACTATTTCCATGTTCCTCGTGTTTTTTTTATAAACACGTTCGATGTGATACACGTTTAAACTTCATGCATTTGTATTTGACGTGCCTCAGGCATTCGTTGTGTTCGATGATCTCTTCGAGGAAAAGAAATTTCAAGCTTAAAATTCGGAAATCCCTCTTACTGTACAAAAAGTGAACGACGAAATGAATTTTTCAATCGATTCATGCATGAGTTTATACAAAAAAACCCAGGGAGGAGTCAAAATTCCTCTTTTTCATAACTTTTATCTTCGAACGTACAGTTTTTTTTTTTTTTTTTTTTT